TCTGTTCAGATCCTTTTGTTTTTGTATCACATACGTCGATCCAAAGCAGCCATCCTTGTCCCACCTAACGAATTTAGTCAAGCCAGCTTTAGTCATATCCTCCCTGATCTTCCGAAGCACGATCCTGTCCAACTCCTGCACAATCTTGTAACCCAGATTATAGACAGAAGTCCTGAGCATCGCTTCATGATACACATATGGGTAGAGTACCACAAATTCTCCAGGATTTCTATCGATAACGGTAATTACTAGGCCCTCCAGGCGCCTCTTCAAATCCAAGACAACATTCATGGACAAAAACTCTACTTTCTGTGGAGTCAACAACACAAGAGTGGAGTGCATCAATAGGCACGGGTGGAATCCCATTCCTGCAATTATGCCAACTTTGAAACCCCCGGATCAACTCTTCGTGCAGTGCAGGGATACGGTTACTAGCAACAACGCGTGAAATATTATTAGCATTTGACAGCAACGGGTGAATGCCTTCTAAATCACTGAGGCAGAAATAGACGTGTCCATCATGTCGTGGAAGGGAGAAGTATGCAAAGTTGAAAACTAGCACATCGCGTGTAGAGAAACTACGCTGATTGTGCAATATATCAGATATCGATGGATTCTTCGTCCAAACGATACGAATCTTTCTTCACACTCTATGAAGAAAACAAACCGATAAATCACAAAGCATAAGCAAGTCATCAGCCACCTTCCTGACTTCAGAAATCCGGATCCGGTATTTAAATTGTACACGAAAAATACGATATGCGCAGAGACTTAGGTCAAATCTTTCACGAAAACATCGAGAGATCAGGCGTCGTAAGTATTTTCTCGTAGATTTCCGAGTAAAGTCCTTTATCGCGTTGTACAACCTAAGAAGTGAACGCATGCACCATCCATACACCTTAGAGAGCTTACATGGATTTTTCAAGATCCCAATCATTTGTTTTTTTCAAATACCAACAACGAGGTTTCCATTTGCAGATAAACACAACCTCGAAGGACCCTCCTACTTCAATCAAGGCTTTACAATCCTTAATAGTCTTGTCACCCCATTGCAACGTAGCTTAGTATTACCAAATGTTCGTACGAGTCTCTTCTAAATGGGTCGCCAAGTATTCCCACCGCTGGTCCTAAAGGTCGTCGAGGAATTGCTTTTCGAGTAAATTCTTTCAAACAAATCGTAAAAGTCAATATTCGATTAACATGAATGCGAGACTAGGAACTGAATCAGTTTTAACACCGTGGGAACACTCAAATCCCGCTTCCCTCTCGTTCTCCTTCACTTATTCTTTCCCAGTTTATGCTTCTTCGTACCCGATACTCTATGCTTACATCTCGCCGAATTCAAGAATGGAGACGAACGACGAATATAGACATCCTCCAGCACAGGTAAATCCGAGCCTACTAAAACGTCGACTGGCAATAGGATGTAATTCCCAATTTCGAAAGAGCATACCAACAATCGAAATGCGCGAGATTACGTGTACGACATCTATGGATATGTTCGCGCCAACGTGTGTTGACATCACGGGTTGTTTTCCCCACGTAAAATGACTTACAAAAAGGTGATACCGCTACGTACACAACATGTGACAAATCCATAAACTATAATCCATGCCGCTCATACAACTCAAGCCAAATCGGTAAGAACTTACATGTCCAACGAATTTCATCTCGTAGCATTAATGATAGAATAACAGCTCCGTTCAATCCTACGATTAACAGAAAAGGATCTACATCGGAAACGCGACAAAATTATGCAAAGTTGCCATAATTGCGATACACTGAAGTCCCATTACTGTTCTCCTTCTGCCACGGGCTCCTTACAAGTTTCAGACTCCAAGTGAATGATCTCTTCATTCGCAGCAGCTTCATCTCGAAATGCAACGATTGCCCGACGCTCGACAATATCGAAAATGGCCTCGACCTTCTTATCATATGGTACACCCTCTTCTTTGCAGATCCGTTGGAGTTTCGTGGCATCCAAGTCCTTTAGTTCCAGCCTCACCTTATTCTTGAAACGTAAGCGTGCCAGCGAGCCTTTAGTTGCTGATTTCGGAAGCGGGGTAGTCTTTTTCAAACATGTCTTTCGCCGTGACAGTGGTGTCTTCACTTGGGATAGTTTCTTAGTCCCTACTTGCTTCGCCTTCGATTTTGTTAATCGAGCACACAATTTGGGAGGTTTTATGGTCACCCTCTTCGGCGTCCTTTTTGGTGGCAACTTCATAGGAAGGCTATCTTCGAAAACAGGCTCCGACCCCCTCTTTCTTTTCTCCGGTTTGCTGAGCTGATTAGCTTTCTCTGTGATTTCCTGAGTCAGTCTGGTATCACTTTCCTCCTCGCTATGTTGAGAATCTGAGCCGCTCACCGATAACGTCTTCATCTTGCCCTTGTCCAATCTTGGTAGCGTAGCTGGTAATACCGCTTCCTTAAAGGTTTCAATTAGCTCATCTCTCAACTCATGTCGCATCTCTTGACGTATCCCCTGGATCTCCATCCTCATTTGGATTCCCAAATCCTTTCGCATCTCCGCTCTTCGTTCCGCTTCCTTCCGTTGCTTCTCTTTCTTCTTCAAAACTTTTCGCTCTATTCTCTCTTTCTCCCCAGCTTCCCACTTCTCGCAATTCTCCTGTTCTTCCGCCTCCAGTCTCGCAGCTTCGGCTTTCTCCCACTTTTGCCGAGCCCGTTCTTCTCTCCTCCTTGCCTCCATGTCATGCAGTTCTTTCATGGCAGCTATGTCTTACTCAGTTCGAAATTCTTCAAATGCACCCCAGAATCCCCTGATGGTGAGTAACGACGTCGTCTCTCGTAATCTCTCGGTGACCTTGAGCGTCGCGAATCACTTGGCGTAAATGGTCTTGAAGAGTACTGTTGTCTTTGTCCTCGGTTTGGGCACTGGTTGGCATAGTGCCCAACCTCATGGCAAGAGAAGCAAGTCGGTTGCCTATAGGCACACCGAACGCCATGGTCGCCTCCTCTGCCAGGTGCACCTTCACCTTCGCGGTGCTCCGACATGTGAACCACGAAGGGCAAACAAGAGCAACTAACAGATAGTAACAGGTAATACCCGTAAATGGGTATGCACGCTCACTCAACCCAGTATGTGGACTCTAGGCAAGTTCACGTGTGCAGTCCTAGGAATAGGGAAATATCACTCCATAGTAGACTAAGAGCTTGTCTCCTTCACAAAAGGTGAGAAGACACAAGTAGATGAATAGATGTTCGATTCACAACAGGTACCATCATACAAACCACTGACCAAATGGTCCACCATTCTTCCCTAAGCCCGACTTCCTTTGGCATCGAATACTGCCGTCAGACAATAGTCGGGCCAAACGCAAGACCTGAGAGGTAGACTATACTACGCATCTACCTATGTATAGTTCCTACGTTACGCCAACCAATCCACTCGTACTACTTCACCTGGAAAGTTACCAAAGTACCGGACTAAAAAATACTAAAAGGCTAGTAAAAAACAATACAAAAAGCTAGTAGAAAAACAATCCAACCAGTACACGGTTCGAGTCAAAGTTTCAAACCACCTATGCACGGGCACCACAGTCCGACTGGTACCGACTAGAGTCTAAATAAAGTCAGCCGTCAAACAAACAGGGCACAAGTTCGAGTCCCAAATCTCAAGCACCCTTGCCTAAAACACAGTCGGACCGGTGCCTGATTCAAATCAGACTCCAAGCATATGC